AGAGGTGACATTGATGAGCGCAGCTGTGTTCCAAAAGTTGAACATTTTTTTTTTTTTTTCAACTGAGAGTCCTGTGAGCGCAGCGACAGGAAACACTGAACTGCGTTGGTTTTGTATAGAAACCGGGCACACAAAATAAACCCTGTTAGTCGACACATCATGGCACCAACAATGATTTCTCCATTCTTGTTGCTGCTAAGTCCAACATTTAAACTCTGTTTTGGTCTCCACCAGTTTTAGAGGGAAGCATGTGGGTATAATAACAATCTTGCACAAAGTTAGCAACCAAGCCAGTTGGTTATACTGTAAGTGTAACACTTCATACTCTCTTACTACGCTACAAAAACACATGTCATTGTCATTATTTGCCAGGCATCGAGGGCCCGTTGTTGCACATTAGTGTTTAAAACCCTTTTTTTTTTTTTCCGTTATTATACTTCATTGTCTCGCTTATCATTTTTAAAATTAGTTGGCCTACATAAATTGTGCATGTGTTATCCAGACCTGTTTATAACAAACTGCGGTCATCCTGTTGCTAAATCCTGAAAAATGTGTTGCTTTCAGTTCCAGTGTATGCAAACAATATATCAAAAGAAGTCTATTTGTGATGTTTCACATGTGACGAGTGGCATTACTAAGGAATGCATCATGCTGTCAATGTGCGACTGAACTCTGTGAGGGACGCAGGATAAACAGAGCAAGATGCTCAAAGGAGGCATCTCTCAACGGCTGTCTTAAAGCAATCCGATCGCAATTTATCAAAGCTGATGGCATGATTTGATGAATCTCTCTTTTTTCGGAGAACGCTGTGAAGGGAATAAGTATTCATAAATAGAGACAGCTCTTGAGGGAAATAAAGAAACAAGAAATGTCAGCGGCAGAGTGATTGGAAAACTTTCAGAATGAACATCTGGATCTGAATGCAGGATAATAAGTTACTCCTCACTACAGAGTTACTGCGATTTAAACACTGTCACATGCCCATGCCGTGTTTTTTTTTTTTTTACAGGGATATCAACTGCATTTGAAGGCTAAATCAACTAAATTTACGCAAAAATGAGCGACGGCTGGCTGGAATTTCACACGTGGGAGCCATGTTGGACAAAGAATAGAGGACATATTTTTTCCAGCGTCTCCCTCACAGTGTACTCTCTCCGTCCTTGATATCTTTACAAAGATAATGTGGTCCCTATTGTTGTTTTTTTTTGGATTTAAATTCTCACAGTGTGATGAATTATGTGTCAACTGATTCACATTACACAACAGTCTTTATGCTTCATAGAAAACAGAAACTGAAGCTCTGCATCAAAAGTTTAGTCTTCATGACTTTATTTTGCATGCTGGTTTTGATGCCAATTCTCACACTATGTTGCATGTACTCCTACACACACTTGATAACCACAACCACACTTGCTACTCATCAATAGTGCTGCTCACTCCTCCCTCATTCTATTGCTACTGTCTTAAATTATGCCTCTCTCCACCTCCAGTTCATTCATGGCATCGTCACGTGCAACCCTCTACATCCCCCTCCCCATCATCGGCCAGTCTTCACATTTTCATCATCAGCTTCAGACGACATCATCAGCTAACACCTCCACCACCTCAGTCTGGACTCCACAGGGGGGATTGGTTTTGCTGCCACTTCAGGGCAGATACCCTTCAACGATTACTCAATCTCTCTGTAGAGATCAGGCACCAAAGACTCCCTGACAATAATTCAATATCACATCATTTTTGTGAAGTAAAGGTGTTTTCTTTAATTCATTTACTTGTCTCTCCTGCTTTAAACGCTTTTGATTTTTGAAGATTTCACTGTGTATTGTCAGACTTTACTAAAAAGGAGGCACAGGAGGGGCACAGGTGGCCTATAGCTGTTAGGTCATGCCCTATCGAGGCTACATAGTCCTCCAAACGGGTGGTGGCTGACCCTTTGACTCCTTTTCCACATGTCTATCCTCATTCTCTCTCACTGATTTGCTATATCCACTGTCCTGTCGAATAAAGGCAGAAAGCCCCAAAAATAAATGTTAAAACATTTATGTTTTTTGACATTTTTTAAGTTTTACCCATTTGGAAGGGGGATTTTGAAAAATCTAATATTAAACTTAAATGATTCTTCTCCAGTTCAACCTTTAGTCATCTTAACAAAACAAAAAACCACCCTGTGTTCAAGGTCAATCCGTGCACAAAGAGCTGAGTCAGAACGTTAAAATGCGGTCCAGCACCTTAAAGGTTAATCATTATTTGCGTGTTTATCTCTACCCAGGGATGTATTTATCATTATAGTACGCTTTATCAGACAAAAGGAAATATAATGTTGTTTCTTATAGGAATGATCACTTGTGTTTTTGGTGAAGTAAGAAGTAAAAGTAGCTTTATGCAAACATGGATTTTGAAATAATCACTTTAAACTCCGACTTTACAGCCAAATAAAAAAGCTATGTATATTTTATGTTTGGGACACGTTTTCTGTTTCTGAACTCTAAATCAAAAGGACTTTTATTTTGCTGGTGGTATGTTTTTATGCTCAAACAACATGTTGAAATAATAAGTGTTACGCATCTTAAACTAATATTAATTGTGCTTACAGTGTCCCTTTGTCCCAAAGCATTTGAGGTTTTTCATGTTTGGAATCGAACCTTGGTCTTAAAAATACTCAGGGATCTCTAGGGAAGTGGATTCGTTGTATAAGAATGGAGGTCCTGCCACCTAGTGTCACTTTTGGGATTTGCATGGAGGAAAAAGACAATAAAATAATCCCTCAAAAATATGCTTTGAAAAGCTAAAATATTAGTATTTAGTAAAGTAAGACCCTCTTAAACCTTTTAAAGGTGAATGAAGATGAGCTTAAGCTGCAAGCAACAGCGAAACAGACTACAGGCAGACTTTAAAGACACCTTTTCTAAAATGTTGTAATCGTTAAGTGTTATTTGACTTTGTGTACTGGATACATAAAATAAATGTGGATTAATGTGATGAAGCAGAAACGTGTGTTGTCTAGCATAATGCTATATAAGGCATTATGGGAATATGTAGAGTCTTGTAATGCATGACATAAATAGCTGTAGTTCTTTAGTGTTTAGCTAGATTAAAGGGTTAGTGTGTTTAGTGTTACAGCTGGAAGACAAATAGTATCTGTGTTTGCATAAAGTTGAAGCGGAGATATTTATGAAGTGTTTTTTGGTTACATAAGAGCAGCTTGGATGACAGATGGACTGCTCAGCTGCGTGCCACTAAAGAGAAAAGTGTTTAAAGAAGTATTATATGAATACAGCGCAAACATCTGCCGGTGATCCATTAAACAGCAGACCATAACTCTGCAGAGAGATGAGCTGACACACAGCTCAAGAATCTGTGTGCGTTTGTTTTACTGGAACATCCATCCCCTAAATTCACACATCTCCACTTGTTGTTTGATAGTAGTTAAAGATTAGTTTTCTTTAACATACGCCTTAAACATACTTATATTTATAGAGAGGTGCTTGGTTATGTTTACTGACCTTCGTTGTGCCCCTTCTTTTGCTGATTTAAATTCCCAAAAGCCTCTGCAGACTTATGGAACGTTTCAGGGCTTGTTTGGGCAGGTTGGTTTTTAGAGTCTGATTCATCTCTGACATCGGAGCTTGTTTGTGTTCTGGGCATTGCATTTCTGTCGATGAAAACAGTTTTTTTCATCTAATATATTTCAGGAGAAAAGGCAAACAGTTTAAGACTCAGACAATGCTTTCTATTCAGAATGAGTCCAAGGGTTTAAAAATGATTTATTTTATCTGCAAAGTTACAATCAAACCTTTAATTCACAACTACCACGTATGGAGAGATTGTATTGAGTAAGGAATCATTAATAAGATACTAAGATTGCAGCAATTAATGATTTAATTAATGTATATTTTTAAAAGGCATTCAAAATATGTAGATTGAATTGGTATCTTTTCTTACTAAACCATGTGGGTGCAAAACTGCATGGTTACATTTAGTAAAGCTGCAAAACACCTCTGCACACAGAAATATGCCCACTAGTCTGTAAAAGTGTTTACTAGAATATCATAAAATATAGTTTTTAAGGCTTGCATAGGCCTACTATCAATTCACATAACCTACTGGGTTGTTTGTTTGATAGATGATGTCGGTAATGAGAGTTTTTGTTCACTATGATTTTGTTATCTGTCATGGAGCTGAAGGCCTACATTTAAATCTGTTAAAAAAATAAATGTTGAGTCACGCTTAGGATGAATAAAATGTTTGTCTTCCTGTTCAGCAGATCTGAGGGCTGCTGCCAATATATTACAGAACTTCTGGAAAAGTCCTCAGGCTCAGAAGTGTCAAGACAGCTGGAGTTAAAGGCCACAAGGACAGGAAAATTAACTTGGATTTCAAAATAAAGCAACGTTTTCTCAGTTAAGCGTGTGGGGGTAAAAATCACAAATTATTGAATAATATACAGAATTGATGTGTTTCTGTTAGACATTTTGGAAAGATCTACATTATTATGCCATCATATGATAGGCTTTCGTGAAATTGTCTTCAAATCTGCTGATTTTTCTGGCACTTTAAGCAGAAAATTGTGTTTTTACACTTGTAAAAACGTTTTTATACATTAAACAAACACGAATAAAATGTGTTATGTAATTTTTAAAAATGTGGGAGTTGTTGGTTGATAGTTTTTTTTTAACTGCAGGACAAAGATAGCTAACCAGCTGGTTTCCATGTTGTTTTTTGCTGAACTAGTTTAACCTTGAGCTCCACGACTGTAACATTTGCTAACCTCTTTCCTGACTTTAATATTTTAACTTGATAGACTTTAATGACACTCCATTTTTTTTTTTTTTATACTCAACAATAAACGTTTGTTTTTTCCCTTGAAGCAGTTTAGGAACAAAGCCTTTATGAAAGATTAAGCAAGGGCTTTATTTTGAAGGGTAAAGCAGGAAGCTGACTCGTGTTTTCGGTGTTTTGACAGCAGCAGCAGCAGCAGCAGCAGCGGGCTGCAGCATGCCCGGTCAGTGAATCACATGTCTGCACCGTCCCCGTTATCCGCTGCTATAAATACAAGCAGCAGAGAGACCCGAGCAGCTTCAGACGGTCTGGAGTCTCAGGAAACAAACAGAGGTGAGTCAGAGATGTTTTTATCTTTTATTATGACGAGAGTTTGCAGCTCAGAGATGCTCCCAGAAAACTGTCTCTAATGCAACCTGATGTCTGTTGTTGTTAAGATAAATTAGAAAATAAAAGTGCAAAACAGTAGCTGTATATTTTTTTTTTTTCATGAATTGTCAGATTATAAATATTTGTCGAGTTTCTATTATAAAATAATGTTACCTTGAGTTGTTTTTCCTCATGCTAAAGTGCTGACTGTGGTTTGTATTGCCTACTCATGGGTGTGACCTCCATTTCTGGATGAAAACAACTGGATTAGGGAGGATGACATCATATTGGGATGAATTACTTTAATACACTGTAAACACACCCAGCAGTAATATAAGCTGGACGGCTTGTGTTGTCAAAAGTGTTTTTTGACAAAAGGCGCTCAAGCTGTTATTATTATTATGAATTTAAACTTGTTTATTAACTGTATGCATAAATAAGTAATGAAGAAAGTATAGCCTGCATGCAGGATGGAATATAATGGGGGGAAAGAGAGCATTTAAACATCATTCACATATTGTAATAATCCTCCAGATTTGCATACGCTGCTGAAAAGCTGGAACTGACCTTAATATTTTCATAAAATATGACAAGTGAATCCTGTGAGTGCAAAAATCCCCAAACACTCAGAACGAGGCCATATGTACCGGTGGCCCATTTATTTCAAATGTAGCTCTGATGATCCAGATTGGATTGTTCTTTCTTATTTTAGATCTGGGAAACACGTTTTTCTGCAGGTTCAGGCTTCACACGAGGAGGAGCAGCAGCAACTTCCCTCGCAGTTATTAGCTCATCTAAAAATAATACCAAAAAGGATACTGATGAAGAAACGCATGGATGAGACTTTACTGAGCCCTTAATAGAAACCTCACATGCTACAGCAGTACAGCTGTTAGTTGAGAAAACAGAATTTAGGATAAAGTAAAGTGAACTGAAATGATATAAAAGGATAAAAGTATATAAAAAAAATTATATGAAAGTGGTGAAAACTTGTGCAAAGAATTCAAATCAAGCAATCAGCATTCATCAGCAGTGAGTATTCACTATTATGTGACACTGTAAAGTATATTTAAGGTTTAAGTCACGATAATAAGAATAACATTTCCTACTGGTACATATTAAAATATAGCTTCAACTTGTGTTTATTGCCATTGTTGATGAATTGTGTCTGATTTACATGAAACACTAAGAAAGCTGGAAATTATTCACATTTGGAACCTCTATGAAAGCTGGAGCCTTTACACATTTAGTTTAAATAAAAGGATTATTAATGAACAACAAGCTTCTTACTGTATTTGATACGATCATATTGTGTCACATAACGACGGTAGGAAATATAGACTGGCATGAATTGGAAGAGAATAATACTTTAATATAATGTACAAAATACAAAAAATTGAACTTCAGACACATAATACTTGTTCTACTTATGTAGAAATATTTCACAGTGATGTATCTGTTTCAGCTGAACTGCTTGTTTTGGATGTGGACTCAATAAAAAAAAACCAAACAGAGCATCTGGTGCCGATGTGATCCCCCTCAGAAACCATGTTCTGTAAAATGTACAGATGTTTTTCTTGTATTTCACTTCATAAAGATAAAAATCTGACTTAAGTGGACGGACGTGGAGCGACATCTGGATGGGAGGACGGGCGGTCAGATTGCATTCTTTAAGTTGTGTAACCAGGATCCCTGCAGATTCAGTTCTGCAAATAACATAGTAAATTATTCCTCCTCTGTCGCCTTCTTTTCCCTTGGTTTGTTTAACTTACTCAGTATTCCTCTCTCTCTCTCTCTGGCCTTGTCTGTGTTTTCTCTGCTTTGTTTTCATCATTATTTCCTCTCTCTGCACATCAATGTTTACTCCTTCTACTTTTTCCCCCCATTAAAAAAAGCTTTTTGGTCCCTGTTGACAAACCTTCCAGGAAGTTGCATGCTGTAATTAAGTAAATGCTTCGTTGCAAACTGAGTAATGACCTTGTTTTGTAAGCGTCTGCAATTTGCTGCAGTGTAGGTGTTTAACTGGTGAGCTCATACAGAGACGAGAAAGTGGGACAGACATTTTTCTTTTCTTCCCCCAGGTGGGCGTCCACAGTCCTGCTGGTTCTCTCAGAGAGACGGTGACATTTTGTTCTGAAGAGAAGATTAAAGAGACATCCAGAGAGTTTCTTTAACATTCTTTATACTGACGAGTTGCTACTAGCTTTGTCACAAGACGGGAAGAAAACACAACGAGCATTTTTGCAGATAGATGGACCAATAATCAGTAAAAACAACAAAATATAGATTTAGAGGTGGCTGATAGGTTAGGTAAGTTCTAGTATCCAATAAATTAAGGTTCCTGTTTAAACCATAGATTGTATAAAAAAACATGGACGTAGTCCCGGTGACATCAATCATTGGTGTCGGATGAGGTGTTTTGAGGCCCATTGGTGGTGGTCGCCATATTGAAAATGCTGTCTCCATGTAACGTTCAATCGGTCTAGAAAATGGCAAGAAGGTGGGTCTTAAGCCTCTCCTGGCAAAGAGCTACAACGCACCCACCTGTCAGTCAACCTCGACTCATGCAAATGTATTCAAATCTACGCAAAACTCTTAGCCTTCATAAATCAAAAAGATTTCTATCTGACTGTAAATAATTCCTGCTGTAAAAATTGCCATTTGAAGATGGGCTCGATTGGGGATTTCTTGGCTTTTGGAGCCAGCCTCAAGTGGACAGTCGAGGGACTGCAGTTTTTTTTTGCAAGCTGTCCCCACCCCAAGACTCCACCTCAACCAGGCTGCTTGGAAATCTATTTTCAGCGGGAGGGGAACCATGGCCCATCTGCCCGAGCAAATATAACACAAGCTTGCAGTTTCATCTGTTTCCCAGGCTACATTTGCAAGGTGTTTGTCTTCAAACATGGCCTTCAACCTTAGTGTTGGCCCAAGCTTTAAAGCCAGGCTGCTGTATTAGATCTCACTAACACTGTATTACCTACAGCCAGGTTACGAAATCCAGAATGGTGGAGGCAGCAGATCCATGCCTGTGGTTTGGGAGTTTTAAGAGTCACACACTGAATGTCTGCAATTGATGTTGATATGCTTTCTTATCAGGTCTGCATTCCTGTATGTCATATGATAAGGGTTGTATTTTCATTTTTTTCCCAACTTGGCTTTTTATAGCTTGGAAAAGTGCTTTAAAAAAATAATAATTTCTTTGTTTTACAATTACAGTTTAGAGTACAGAAGGGAGGATTATCTGTGGCTGCAGAAATAATCAACAGTGAGAGAGATTTGCACGGCCTGGGAAAAGCTGCATGACTGTCCAGCCGTCTGCTGACTGTCTCTTTCTGTCTTTACCGTCTGCGTCAGTGTAAAGGAAGACAATCAAGGGCTACAATCACTCTCTGTAAAAGCTAACATTGTCATTGTGGGCAGCTGACCGGGCACACACCAGTAGGTTGTTAACAGAAAGAGGCTGTTTGTTCTCTTTCATTGAAAGGCACAGTTTGACCAAAGTCACATGAAAAATAAAGACGTGAGGTCAGCTTGAAGGGAAGGTCCATGCTGGTGTTTGGTGAACGACACGGCATAGGAAGGAAACGATGCATTCAGCAGGCATGAGTCTGAATTATTTATCAGTATTGATCCATGCAGTTATTTTTATGTAATGCTGTGTAAGGGTGGAGAACTGCTGCGCGAGCTTGGTCATTTTTTTTTACTGCGTAGCTCTCCGTCTGTTTTTCAAAGGGCCTCTATCGCCCTCCAGTGGACAAAAAGCGGCACTACAACAACAGAACAGAACAAAGGAGGGCAAAACTGAACCTTTTTAAAATGCTGGACTGATGTGCTTTTATTCTTCTTCTCTAGGATTTTATCGTCATATTTGCCTGCTGGCCCCGTGGACCTCAGAGAGGATGTTAATGATGATGATGATGATGAGGAAGAAGGGGTCCAAGGGCCTCGCCTTGTTCGCTCTTCTTGTGGCCTCGGCCAACTGCGTCCTTCCTCCAACCAAGGATGATCTTAGCCGTAAGTTTCACTGAAGAACACTTTAAAGGGTCTCTTCACACATATAATAAAATAAACCATTTGATTTTGTATTCTTCACTTTGTTATTAGTTTATTAGATAACTGGACGAGACTATACAGTTACCACTACATCTTTTTTTTTTTTGGGGAGGTTTTTGCCTTTATTGGATAGGACAGATGAAGAGAGACAGGAAGGGTTGGGAGGAGAGAGTGGGGAGGGGCATGAAGCAAAGGTCTGAGGTCAGATTCCAACCCACAGACGCTGCAATAAGGATTACAGCCTCTGTACATGGGGCGCTCAACATAAAATTTAAATATGTTATTTCTGTTACTTCATTCATGCTTCAATGAAAAGGACAAACACTGAATTCAGTGTTTCTGTATTTTTTTCTCATAAAAACCTTTTTTATTTGAATAAAATTAATAACCAAATAAAGAGTTTTTAAAAAATCCAAGTTATATTTGGGAATTGCCTCAGTCGCCTGTAGCCTAGTGGTTAGTGAGCGCACCATGTGCAGAAGCTGTAGTCTGTCAAGTGGGTGGCCCAGGTTTGAATCCGACCTGTTACTCCTTTCCTGCATGTCACTTCCCACTCTCTCTCTCTCTCTTCCTGATTTCTGACCCTTTCCACTGTCCTGTCTCTCAATAAAGGCATCAAAAAGACAAAAAGAAACCTTTAAAAAAAATTGTGCTGGGGAAAAAATATGACATGAGCGAAAAAGTGTAGGACTATGTGATCAACGTGTTTTTGCAGAGATTTCCCTTCTGGCCGAGGAGTACCTGGGGAAACAGATCGAAAACGCTGTCAACGGAGTGAAGGAGATGAAGACTGTGATGCAGAAATCTTCAGAGGAGCACAAGAGGTTTTTGGATGCCCTGAAGAAGACCAAGGAGCAGAAAGAGGTCAAAACATGTCATCAAACTTTTCACACAGACTGAGACCGTTTTTAAAAATATATTAATTCATGGATTCAAATGTCTCTTCATAAATATGATTTTAGTTCAGATTTACTGGAACACATAATGGCTTGATTAGTGGCAATACATTTTCTCATCACATTGATGTTACAAGACAAGTTCTTCATCCACAAAACGAAAAGGGCAGCAGGATGTTATCAGGTAGAAACTCTGTGAATGTGACTGATTGAACAGCTGTAGAAAGAAGGTTCTTTAAATTCATTCAAAGCAGTCGTCAGACGAACAACATAAAAATATTTATCAATCCAACAATGATGTCTGTCCCTGCAGGAGGCGATGCTCACAGCTCAGGAGATGGAGACCAAGCTGGAGCAGGAGGAGGAGGTGTGCAACGAGACCATGAAGGCTCTGTGGGAGGAGTGTAAGCCCTGTCTGAAGAACACCTGCGTCAAATATTACTCCAGATCATGCAGCAGCGGATCAGGACTGGTGGGACGTCAGGTTAGACCATCACATACACTCATCCTAGACAAAGTGCGGGGCTGATGTCAGGCTTTCGTACTCACTCGAGGACGGCGATGGTGGTTGAGGGACGAGGCAGTCTGATGGTGGAAGCTCGGCGTCAGGGAGGTCGGGTGGCAGTAGTTTAAATGTTGAAGGTTTTGATTCATTCTCCTCCTGTCTGCAGCTGGAGGAGGTGCTGAACAGAACGTCTCCCTTCTCCATCTGGATCAACGGGGAGAAGATCGACGTCCTGGAGAGGGAGGGACAACGACAGAGCAAAGAGTTCAAGAACCTGGAGGACAAATACATAGAGATGGCTGATGGCGTGAACAACATATTTACAGACAGCATGAAGGTAAAGTCAGAAACACTGGACACAAAGACTCTTATTGACTTAAATTACAGGACACAATTAAGAGTGATAAACAGCTAAAGGATCTGAAACACAGTCAACCATTTTTCAAACTGTGACACTTTTAGAATAAGGAATAGACTAAATCCTTAAAAGTGGGTCACAGGTATTATAGTTGAGTGTCTGTTTTGTTCTCAGGTTGCTGATCACGTGCACTACAGCCCTCCCGTGTTCTTCCTGGGACCGTTCACCCGCCACAGCAGAAGCATTCGCTCTCTGTTCCGCGATCCTTTCCACGGCTTCCAGGGTCTGTTCTCGCCCATGATGGGAATGGGCAAGAACTTCTTCAGCTCCATGGGCTCCATGATGGACTTCGACACAGACATGACTCCTAATGAGGGTACAGCACACTCTACTCCCATGAGCAGTGACGATGTCTTTAAATGAAACTAAAAAACTATCTGTTGTAGTTTATCAGATCTCTTTCCTGCTCATTGATTTGAAAAAAAAAGATCCTAAAATAACAAACATTTACATTTTATTTTTTACATTAAGAAGAAGACAAATTGACTTTAAAAATGATTTTAAAAAAGTCCTCAAAGTAACTAAATCAAGTTTTGAAAACTGCTTAAAAGATCAGCGCTCTGAGGTGAGATGTCGGACTAGTATGAGTTTCTTACTAAGACATGTGAAAGAATAAAAAGAGAGAAAACCGGCCTTAGCGAAATCTAATGTTGGGCTTAATTTGACTGCATCAAAATGTTGTCAAAGCACCGCCGTCACACCCAGGGCCCAGATAAAATGTGCACATGCTGAGTGAGAAAGCATGGCTCGATTACGTAGAATAGTTTTACTACTAATTGTGAGAAATTCAAACTTTGTGACATCAGATGAGTGAACGTCCCTGAAGGATTTTCAGTCAGTTTTAAGACATGCAAGTCAACTTTGTTTAGGAGGTTGTTAACTGGAAAAAAAACAAAACATCAACCCCTGTGATTGTTTCTGGACACAGACGGCGATCTGAACGAAGACGTCGTCATCACCAAACCTTTTGGTAACGGACAGATGACCTGCAGAGAGATCCGCCGCAACTCAGCCGGCTGCATCAGGTTCAGAGACGAGTGTGAGAAATGCAAAGAGATCCAACATGTGGGTAAGTGTGCGGCATTATTCTAAGATCAGGAGGAGACATGAGTGAGTCTCTTTAGCTGCCAAAATAAAACAAATAAAACGTCTTCATCTTTACATCATTGAAGCTCACTCTAACCTCACACTCTCTCGTCCCCCCCGCAGACTGCTCCGGTAAGAGACCTCTGGAGGGGCCGCTGAAAGAGGAGCTGGAGGCGGCGCTGGCCATGACCGAGCGTTTCACTCAGCAGTACAATAACCTTCTGAAGAGGTTCGAGGAGCAGATGTTCAACACCTCCTCCATCGTGGATCTCCTCAACAGCCAGTTCGGCTGGGTGTCGTCTCTGGCAAACAACACCAAGGACGACATCTTCAAGATTCAGACGGTACGTCGACCCGCTCGCTGCTCTGCTGCGCTGTTTAACGACTTCACTGAGGCGCTGCATCCATTCTTCATCTGCACTTACTGGTGTCGCTTTTTAGACTGCTACAGAACATGATGGAGACATAATCTTAAAGCTGCAGTATGCAACATGTTTTAATTTAAGTTTGGTTAAATACATTTTTATCATTGCATGTCACTAACATTATTACATTAAAATAGCTTCTGCCATTGGTAGAAGCAACGAAAGAGAGTTTAGCAGCTCTTTTCAGCGAAAGCAATAATAATACCAGAAATGTTTCATTCATGTGTGTCTGATCTGTGTGTCACTTCTCTTCTTTGTACTTAGTTTTTAAAAAACGTTCTGAATCAAATATTCAATCAGGGATAGGTTGCATCTAACTAGCAACAGTAAAGTTTCAAACTAGCATCATTTGGCTTCTATGTGTGAAAAATATTGAAAACCTTAAATTAACAATCAAAAATTCCCCATGACAGTCTGGCTTCATGAGATAACAAGTCTTAGTTGTGAGATTGAAAGTCTAAATAATGGAACATGACGATCATTATGTCACGACCCGGCTCCCAAGACACGACGAAAACAAGGAAAATACACGATTCAACTGATCTGTACAAAAGTTTTATTACAAATAATTCAAAAAGCAAGGATGTGCAAAGAGGATGAGGTGTGTTTATCAGTAAATCAAAGTATCTGCTGATGGGTGAGTGGACGATGTGTCTGACAACAACACAGCAGCGACTCTTCACAGGCCAGAAGGCCGTCACAATAAAAGAGTTAAAAACGAGATAAGATGTAAAAATGTTGAAATTAAATATAGTAAAATAATCAAATTCAGAATTATAAGATTCAAAGTAATGCGAATAAAAAAAAAAGATAGTTCAAAATATTGAAATAGAAGGAAGAAGAATTTAATAACAGAAAGACAAAGTTTGAGAGCATAGAGAATCATAATGATGATCTATATACTGAGGTATGTTAAAAAAGTCATAATGATAAAAAATAATCTTGACATTTCGAGATTAAATGTAGAAAACTGATGTGAAGTTGAAAATAAGATAAAAAGTCATAAAGAGATAACTTTAGCGTCTCTGTTCCTCAGGTGATCAGCAGGGAGTCTGAGGAGAAGCCAGGTGAGACAGAGAAGCAGCCCGGAGAGACTCAGGTGTCCGTGCAGCTCTTCGACTCGCCACCCATGAACTTCAACGTGCCGGGCGACATCCCCTGGTCCGACCCCAAGTTCTCTGAGGTGGTAGCTCAGGAGGCTCTGGACCGCTACAAGGAAACCACCGTGTGAGTGTCGAGCAGATCATCATGCAGGAGATAAAATATTAACAAAAGAGTAACATGAGAGGAGTCATACCATTCTCATGTCTTTAAAGGAAGACTGTGCGACATTTTAGACATACATCCAGCAGAAATCAAGTAAATCCTCTGTAAATGTCTCTCTGAGTCATGACTGTCCCGTCAGCTGTACTGTTGTCGGGACGTGTTTACATGGACGGGACGGCGCTGTGTATGAAGCTGTTTTAGTCATGGACTGGAGAAAAGAAGAATAACAAAGTCTCACTGCTCATTTGGATGTCACTTAAGGGTCACTTTGAGTCATTCTGTGTCAGTTTTTTATGTAAAATGTTTTGCTATGAGTTAACCAAAGTGTGCTAACATTAGCATGCTAACACAACAATGTGGGCGACAGGCAATAGCAACTGGACCAATCAACAATTTTGTCCGCCGTTTGTGTTTAATGGTGCGTTCTAATTCATAACTCCTCGGTGCGGATGCGAGTGAAGAGGGGTTGGAGGTGTCCTGCTGGAGGAGAGCGGAGGCTCGGTGTCGGCAAACAGCAGTTTGTTTTGGTTTCATGCCGGTGCTCAAGGGCGACACCTACTGGAGTCACACATTCCTCCTGTAGCTACTTCTAAAAAAAAATGTCCACAGAGTTCACTACTCTCAGATCCTGAGGAAGACAGTTCTCCAACGTTTAGGTGCTGCAACCTTAACGGCACAGTCTCCTTTTGTTTTAATTCCACTCCTGACCTGCAGTCCTCAATATTAACTCTTTAGACTTTTACCTCTGAGACCGGGGAACTGGATTCAAACACAAACACTCCCATAAAGGTACAGGATGTACTCTGGATCAAAAAGTTGCACATTCTTCCTTTAAAATTCTCGTCTTTAATTTGAGGGGAAAAAGCCGATAAATATATGAAGGGAAAATGAACATGTACTTACATTCTTAGGAGATAAATGACTAATGGACCGTGTTTTCTTTTTGTTTTCACAGTGTGGTCAAATAAAGTCCGACTTGCGCCCCCACAACCGAAGAGAATGTTCTGGAAACATCACCCAAATCCCACCTGGAAGACCTTCTTCTCTCCAAGTCCTGCTTTTGCAAACAACACGGTTTAACCTCAGAGATGTCGTGGTCACATTAGAGCTCTTAGTGCCGCTGTCCGAGAAGACTTTCACTAAATGTAGATAAAAGGCCTCCTCACGTGTAGACTGTAGAAGCTCTAACATCGAAACCTTGCAGGGCTTTCTTAAAACAAGTTCCAAAGCACTTACGAGTCACGCTTGACTTTTCCAATAAGAGCTAAAATGTATGTGTCTGTCTCTGAAATTCTTTATTCAGCCGTGCTTACAGATTTGAGATGGAAAAGATATTTCCTCAAGAGTCTGCTTCAGTGACTGTTAACGACCTGAGCTGCCCTTCTACAGATCTCTGATAGCTGCTATCGGAGTTGGTTGAAACGGTTGTTTGCTGGAGTTAAACGCACTGATTGGAAGTAGATTACAGTCGGGGAATAGGAAGTGGATTACGTTCACGATTGCTTTAAACCCCTCTGTACAGCAAAGAAGCAATACATAGAGATGAAATAAAAACCTGCTCAAACCCACTGAAGTGTCTGTTGTTCTTTTCAGTCAAACTTTTCTCATGAATCTGGACTTCCTTTGAAGGTGAACTGTATTTTAAGAGTGGTTAAAACCTTTGTGTAGTCTTGTAAATGGTAAATGGACTTAACTTGAATAGCTCTGTTCTCGTCTTCTGACTGCTCAAAGCACTTTTACACCTCAGGTCACACCTACACATTCACACCCATTGGCAGAATTAACTAATCTGTTCATACGCAATCACACACCGCTGACAAAGCAGCGGGAGAAATTCAAGGTTGAGTGTCTTGCCCAAGGACGCATCATACATGTGGCTGCAGAAGCCGGGAATCGAACCCTCGACCTTCTGATTGAGAGGCTACCAACTGAGCCACAGCCACCCTGAAAACAAATAAAAAGAGACAGAAAGACAGCATCTAGACTACAACACACAAACACATTCAAGAGGACTACAAAACAAATTCTCGATGTCAAAACCTGATTTCAGTGTTTTGATCGGCTGAAAACAAAAATTTAATAAAGAGCGTAGTGTTTTAAAATATTGTGCCGTTTTTATTTTTGTGTAAAAATCACACAGCTGCTAGTCGACTCTGCAGAGATACAGTACATCCATGCAGTTAAACATCTAGGATCCCACAGCCAAGAGAGAAGGAATTAAATAGAATATTCTTTCGCTGTTAGTCAGCAATTAATGCAAATTTACATATGAGTCCAAAAAGTGTGTTTTCATATACAATATACAACTCAGACCTGGGAGCAAACAGCATTCAAAATCCCATCAAAGACTTTTTGTTGACAATTGATTGCTTCTGCCTGCCTGGATTGCCTTTTTTGGGGGGGGGGGGGGGGGGGGGGGTTCAGGAGCTGCTGTGCTAGCAAACATTAATCGAGCCCATGAGAAGGTTTTTTGTTTTTTAACAGGGTTTTCAATGGTATTTGTTCCAGGTCTGGTAACAACAGAACACACTCTCACACACACACGCGCAAACACACACACACACACACCAAGTACATCATCGTCCTTAACAGCAGAAAAAAGAAGGCGAGCCTTGATACGACAAGGAAGAGAGGGCTCAGTCAGCTGCTGTGGAAACCTGAACGCCGGTCAGGGGGGAGGAGGGGGAAGGGGGGGGAGTAAGGCTTTTAGAAGAAGAAGGATTCTTGGAACACACAGGAAGCTCCAGGGACAAAAAATTACGATTTAAAACAAAAAAATATCAGAAAGGAGACGGGGTACTGACACTAACGTTTCCTGGGGGTTCAACTGAAGAAATAAAACTCAAGTGGTTCATCACCTTCTTTTCTTCTTAAAGCATCTTCTTTAAATACTCGTGACAGACGAGAACGCCATGCGGGGTTAAAAGAAAGCAAAAAAAAAAAAAAAAAAGACACATCAAAGAGGACGAAGAAGTGAGGAGGAAAAGGAGGGGTTTAGTTCAAAGTGCAGCTGGGTCATTCAGGCCTCCCATTCTGCTGACTGCTCTCCGTGTTCAGCTTCATCTACAACCAGCGAGGGGTCGTATCTTGCAGATTAAGGGTGAAAGTGCCCTGATTAAAAAAAAAAAAAAAAACAACAACACTGATCTGGAGTTTAGTCCCCCCCTCTGGAGCAGGCTGGCGCTTCAAGAGGAGGGAAACGGACTGCTCGTCAGTGCCCAAAGAAAAACCAAAAAAAAAAAAAAAAGGCAAGATGATTCACAAACATACAGTAAATGGTGTTTTTTTTTTTTTTTTTTGGAAGATCTAAGATACAAAAAGTCAGAGTATACTGCTCACACAGTTGCTACTATCATAGTACAAACAGCTAAGTATAGTTGGTGTGTGAAGATGTATCGCCCCGTACTTGCATAGTGCCGACTAGTCGATCGGAAAAAAAAAAAAACAGCTAAATTCTCAAACATCGACTCGTTTCTGCGTCCTCAGTTTGGATCTGTGCTGGGAAAATTTCACAGGAACACTTCTTCATGGATGTCGCCTTCTGGAGCCAGGCAGCAGGATTATCTTCAAACCCGTCAAGTCTGTCTTTTTTTTTTGAACAACGTGCTTTTTTTTTTTCTCCTCCAGGTGAAGTCGAAGACTGGAAATAAGAAGTCTTAAAAAAAAAACTAAAAAAAACAGGAAGCTGAAATGTTTGATGTACACAAGTGAAACCTGTAGGAAGGTAAAAGGTTCTTGTTTTGTTTTTTCTTTTAAACACAGCCCAAGTAGAGGTGAGAGAGCAGAGTGACAGTTCAGTCATTTGGCATTAAGTTAAACCATTCAGTCACATCAAACCCCAAACACTGTGTAACATGAAGAAAAGAAGACAACGCATGTTCACTCACACACACACACTCACACACTCACACACACATTTATGTCGACTTCGAGGGGCAGTGAGAAGAAGGACTTGAGTCAAAATAAGCCTTCACTTTGACGCTTTGCCCACAAGCCTCAAGCCCAAAAACTCCCGTCTAGAGGAAGCCCAGAATGTTTTGAGGCGATCGACCACACCAAACTCCAGTCAAAAAAATCACAATTTTACATTTATTGCAAACTAGCTGATGTAGATTCCAAGTCCAGACTCGCTCATGTCCTTAAAGGGTGTAACGTGCGTTGAAGCATGACTCTGTGATCCTTTACGAACTACTTTTCAACACAGCGGCACTCAAAGGGTGTAACGTTCAGTAGAAAGACATATCTTTGACGATATTTAAGATTGCTTTTAAATGCATTAAGAGTCATTTATCCCACAAATTGCCTGTAAACGAATAAGCATTCAGATGCAAAATAGAAATAGTAAAGTGAGTTTAAAAAAAATACTGTGTGCTTCTTTAAATTAGCCGGATTTTAAAGGGAGTTTGGTGTGGCAGAGTCTGCACCCCCAAGACAGAAAAAAAAAAATCATAAAGGTGCTGACCTCATGGAAGTTACTGAACACGAGCAAAAAAAAAACAAAAAAAAAAAACAGTCACACATGACGAACACAGCGTCTTTCTTCTTCAGTCATTCAGAGAGTAAAATAAACGGACACCAGCAGTTTGTCTTCAAATCGCACTCGCAGCTTCTTGTCAGCCACTTGTGGTTGTCCTGGTGTTTGATGTCTTCACACTTAACGCCTCTCCTTCGAGGAAATTGAAAAGTGCCAGTTAGTATAATCCCCCCTCCGCGCTCCGCTCCAGTCACATCTTCTTGGTGAGAATGCTCTCTCAGGTCCTTCTGGTTTCTGATTAATAAGACGTGTGATTGAGCCGTACGAGTTTTAACAGAGCACCCTGCAGCAGGTCGATGTCTCCAGGGAAAGCCAAGATGTTTGAAGGATGAAGGAGAGAGGGATTCACACAGCGTTTGCTTTAGATTAAAAAAAAAAAAAAAAAACTACAGCAGAGTTTCCCCTCCTCACGTTGGTTAAAGATGAGAGAAAGGTCTGAGCTGCTCCAGCTGCACTTCCAGGGATATCCTCTCTTCAAGCAGGTCCTGCAAAATAACACATTAAAAGGTGATCTCTTTGCTTGGACAGAGGAGAAGGAGTCAGAAAAGGAAAACATTTACATCTTTTGTACCTTCAGCTGCTGCTGCAGTTCACTGTTGAGTCGTGCCAACACCGTGTTCGTCTCCTTGTTTCTTCTAATTGAAGCTTGAATCGCCTTTTTGTCCTTTCCCACTGACCTGGAAACGCACAAGAACACGCTTTTTTTTTTTTTTTTTTTTTTAACTAAAATGACATGCATGCCAAGATATCAATGTCACTTTTAAAAGATCTTCCTGAATCTTTTAAAGACACCAGTGGAGTTTTGTACCTGGGAATGGAGGGCTGAGTGGCCAGAACAGCGGCTATGACGTTGGATTTCTGCTGGCCGTGTGGCTCGTCCTCCGGTCGGAGCTCGTCTTCAGATTTCAACCTTCGTCGGACAGGTTTTGGAGGAGGTGCTATCGGACCAGACGAACCCTTGGCCCCCTTAAAGAGAAACAAGACAAGGAGGAAAATCAAACCAAACTTGAATTCCAACAGTGGCAAAACAAATCAAATTGAATCATTTTTGGTTTCAGACTATCAGTGCTTCAAACTGCTCCTTTTGAAGGCTTAACATCTGGATCTGGAAAAGTGTGGTTGTTCATTTCTGCATCTTTTTGATCCATAGACAAAAGATTACTCAATATATTAAATAAATGATTTACAGCTGAATGGATGCAGACAGACAGAAGTGTTTAACTGCGAGCTTTGTCGCCTTAATACAACCGCTAAACTATTTCTGATACTAAAGATGTGACAACATCTGGTAAACATCTTTATTTGCTTTTTCCTGATACTGCTTTGAGTACAAGTACACTCCTTTTATTCCTGTGAGAGAAATGTTTTGACTCACAGAGTTGACAGTAGCTGATGCTCTCTCGTCTGCTTGGCCGTCACTCTTCACTGTTCTTAAAGGGCCGGCTCCCTCCGATGGCTTCTCCGCCTAAAGCGACAAAAACAAAGAATCTGTTAGAGGGGACAGTCTATCAATAAGAAAAGCAAGTGTGAATGAGTAACTCCTTTTCTAGACATTTTCAGGAGTGCATATGTGAAAACGGCTCCTGATGCAATTTTGCCCGTGTTATGTCTCTAATGACGGGAGATCAGGAGCAGAATGATTTTAATGCACTCTGGGATATTTACATTCAAGGTGATGTGTAAAACAGCAATGTAAAAGGAGCTTTTGTTTTGAAGCTTTGACTGTAGGAAGCCATCATCAATTAAATGGCAGATCTCAATGTGGTGTGTGAAACTGTCTGAAAGGTGGGAAAAGACAAAAAGGAGATGCATGACATCCACGTAAAGTCCTACCTGTCCGGGCTCACTGTGGATATCGACCTCTGGCAGGCTAGAAGGCTGTTCAGACGCAGCGAACGTCTGAAACTGGCTGAAGTCTGCAAAATTGGGCTGCTGGGGGATCTGTTGGGGAGAGGTGGCTGCGAGCACCGGCCCCGCTCCCGGTGCAGCCTCAGACTCAGAACGAAGCCCGGTGTGTGGCAACGATGTCTGCGG